AGAAATATCCATAACAAAATTACGACAACAATCAAAAACCCTCTATATCCCTGAAAGTCTCGACTTCCCCTGAACAATTAAATAAAATAATCAAAAGGGCTGTTAACCCTGTATACCTTCAAACTATCTCAACTTCCTCTAAACAATACATAACATAGAAAAAATGTTAATTAAATTAGATAATTAAATAACTATATGCACTTGTTTAACAAATTATGAGTAACGCTGAAACCCTGACTGGTGATGTTACAGGAAACCAGATAAACCAGTCAAGCAAGATTGACATCTTTCTACTCCACCCAAGCTGAAGTAGCCAATAGGAGCACACATTCCTGACGTACTTTGATGGAGCACCAGTCTAATAAAACTGCATGAATCTTCTGTCTCGAAACACTGACACATACACACGCTCTCGCAAACATCAACAACTAAGGACTCTACAAACATGTCTTTCCTTTCAGGAGTTTTGGGTAATAAAGCAGCAGAGTCATTTGTCGACCAGGCTGTGGACAAAGCAGGTGAGTTTCTTATGCCGGAGAAGCTTAAAGAAACTTTAAAGTAACTGTTGTGTGCAAAGTTTTTATACTTTTTATGCTGAGACCCTCTGTGTCCTTGTTTAGCCGGCCAGTTGTTATGAGTTGTTTTTGAGTTGTATATTAATCTTCAAGGCTAAAACATATATAGATTAGACTTTTCCTGAGATTTTATATAGATTATATATAAAGTATCTTATGTATTTTATCTAAAAAATATTGGATAAAGTAAACTAACATTTATTTAACTTTTAGCTATAGTAAAAAAAAAAAAGACAGAAGACAACAACTTTTAAATGATTTATTTCTAATCTTTTTTTTTTTTACAAACTCTCAACTAAATATGTAATAGAAATGTGATATCATGACTCATTTAACTGAATTATATTATTAAGCAAGTTGTTTCCCTCCCTTTCAAATTGCCATGTTGCTTGTTTTAACTACTTTTAAGTTTGTACTTAAATTTTTTAAATTTTTAAGCCTGCTGATTGCGGTTTGTTCTCTATGAAAGAGCTAGTTGAAATATTTTTTGAGAATGCAGTCAGTCCAGTAATCATGCCACTCCTTATAAGGAATGGAGTTATAATGGGCCTTCAGAGCCAGTAATGCTATCCAAGGTTTTTGTTTATTTTTAGACATCTAAGAAAGAAAGAAAAAAACATTTTGGGGCAAATCTGATGGGAAAGATGAGCTGTATATGAAAGACTATAAAAACTGCCATGTGTTACCTTCAGTGTTGGGGGGTAACGCATTACAAGTAACGCGAGTTACGTAATCAGATTACTTTTGTCAAGTAACTAGTAAAGTAACGTATTACTTTTTAATTTACAAGAGAATATCAGAGTTACTTTTTTTTCCAATTTATTGATTGACAGCTCTGGTGTCGCCATGGTGACAGAAATCAGAAGATGTTACTGTAGTTCTAAAATAAATATGAATATGCATTAATTCATCTCACTCACAAAAAACACAGATTCAGTATTCCTCAAAATGAATAAAAATAATGCAACTCAGAATATGACACAAACCTGCAATAATTAAATGTTAAACAACACAAATATCCTTTATGTATTTCATCCCGTTCTATTAACCAATGTCTTTGCTTCTGTCCTTCGATGATCCTGTTCAACCATACTAATAAGCAAAAATTACTCTAGACAAACATTTGTGTCCTTTTTTTACTGCTGAAGTGTGTTGAAATGTCTTCTTCTGCATTCTACTGTACGGACGTAAATTTACTTTCCCTTCAGCCTGAGGCTTATTCATTTCACTTTTGGTGTGAAAAGGTTTTTATATTTGCCAAAAATAGAACTTTTTTATTTTAAAAACAAACAAGCAAGCCCCGTTCAGATTTAAAAAGTAACGTAATGCATTACTTTCCATAAAAAGTAACTAAGTAATGTAATTAGTTACTTTTTTTATGGAGTAACGCATTTTTGTAATGCATTACTTTTAAAAGTAACTTTCCCCAACACTGGTTACCTTTATATAATGTTGCCTTCAAATTTCCCTAGCTGCTGCAGCTAAAAGAAAAGTGAAGGAAACATTTACTGGAAAGAAACAGGAAACTGATAAGACCGGGGGTATGGGAGGTCTTTTCCCAAGTAGTGAGGAGAAGGACAAGAAACCAAAGGAAACGTCAGGAGGTGGACTATTTGGTGGCCTCCTTAAAGCAGAAGGACCAGGGGAAAACAGCGGCGGAGGAGCCTTTGGTGCTGGAGGCAGCAATGCAGTAGACAACAGTGGAGCAGACAGCAGTGAGTAATAAACAAATACATACAGACACACATCCAAAGAAAAACAAAAACTGTCAAAACCTGATGGGTCTTCCAATAATTTGTCCACCATGTACAAATATAATAACATATTAATATTTTGTGTTTGATTAGGTTTCAATGATGCACTAGATGACCTTGCTAATGAGTTCTGTGAAAAATGATGTTCTGACAACAAGGAAAAATCTTCAGTTCTTCAGCTGGAGACCTGTCTTACATCAGCACAATCTCCAAGTGTCATGGACTATTAACAATATAAGAAGACAGTCATTTGTTACTAATGTAAATAATTTTAAACCGATGTCTCTGTAATATCTTATGTACAACTACTTAAAAAATACTAGAAATTATGCCTATTACATTCGTATTAGGTATTGTTTAAATAACTTAAGTTTAGTTAGGCTGCTTTTATTTTCAAAACTGTGTGATTGAATAAATGTTCAGTGAATAAAGCTGAATAAAATTTTTGTATTACTACTAAATGAAAAAGGTCTAATTTTATCCACTTACATGAGCATTGAGTATAATCACATTACTTTTTTTCTGTCAATATTTTAAAAGATTTCAAAGTACAAATACAATTAACCCAGTAAATCAGCTGACACACTGCACATTTTCATTTACATTTTATTAATTGTAGACCATTTAAAAAGGCAATACAAAGTCATTTTTTTCCCAAAGGCTGTTTCATATTAAATGCTAATATTGCGATGAAAATAAACATTTGCTCCCAAATATATGCCCTACCGTTTGCATATTATTAAGAAATTAAAAATAAAAAAAAACAAAGGAAGCTTTTTGTTATCACTGAAAACTGTTCCAAGGAGCAGCAAAAGCAGATATTTATGTGCAACATTTTGGTAACAGATATAAAAAGCCTGAGATTCATCCTGCATCCCTTTCCCGCTTGACCATAATTGTGTCAAAATGGGTGGGGAATAAAGTAACCAACTAGAAATCCTAGAAACTGGCATGAGAATCAACAGTGTGTGGCTGTGACTCTAAGGCTTAATGTGTTTTCAATACGCAGCAACTTCATTGACCTGAAGAAAACATTACAAAATAGCTTTAAAATAAGGTACAACTGATCAGTGTTTCGTGGCGAAATGTGGAAAATTAAACAGACTTTGGCTCTAAAGCTTTTCTAAAAGCCATGAATATTTGAAAGGATGATAAACTAGAAAAGACCAGATAATTCTAAAGATGCTTATTGGTAATCACATGCATAAATGATATGACATATATATATTTATGTCATATAAAATGTAAACGTGAGGAGCTGAGGGGTTAAGTGATATACCTCGGGTCTGTGCAGATGAACAGACTCAGATATAGAGTCGGGTAAATAATACTACCATCTATGTGAAGGTAAGGCCAGCCTCATGGTACACTTTGAAGACTTTCTCAATGGCGTTGACGTAGGCCGCTGTCCTCAGGTCTAGCCCAAGGTTATACCTGTTGGCTGTGCGCATGATTTGCTAAAAGAGGAGAGATGAATTATGTGAACAAACAGAGCAGTACTTTACATCACAGAGGCTCTTCATACATCAAACTAGCCTAAACACACACAGACTAGTACACTGCCTCCCGAGACGGCATTTTAAGGCATCATAGACCTTCTTAAAGTGAATATCATTCTAAAACGAATCTTAATTATGCTGCCTCCAAAAAAAAACTAATTTAATTTCTTATTATTATATATTTCGGATTATTATATATTTACAGTATATATCTACTTACTCTGGCAGATCGCTCCATTGTGTAAGCCAATCCAGAATGCACAATGTCCTTTTCAGAAGCTCCCTACCAGATGAGCAAAACAAGCGTATAAAGGTCTAGTACTCAAATATAAAAATTAAAAAATGCACATTATGGCCCGGTTTCACAGACAGGGCTTAGACTAAACCAGAATTAGGCCATTGTTCAATTAGGAAATGTAAGTAATTTTTATTAACATGCCTTAGATAAAACATTACTGGTGTGCATCTTGATGCAAAACAAAGGCACTGATATATTTTAAGATCAGTCAGTGCAAGTTTCTTTCAGTTAAAACGGCTCAGATTTACACTTTAATCTGGGACTAGGTTTAAGCCTTGTCTGTGAACCCGGGGGTATGTGTGACAAGAGCTTCTGCGTTTATACTCACAGCAATCCTCTCTTGAAATTCCGATGTGGGAACAATAGGTATGGCTCCACCATGTTTCCCAAACTTCCTTTCCAGACTCTCCTGGACAGACACTGCCAAACAACATAGTAGATCCCCATTAGCATGAGCAAACTGACACATGGATTTAAGATAGTAATGGTCAAAAAAACAAAGTTTATTCTCACTTACAGCTTCTCTGAGGCCTAAATCTGGGATTTAGTTAAATATTTTATAAAGGGTGCAATGAAGTATGGTCCTGATATTAGTGTAAAATGAACTTTACACCATTCAACAGCTTTTTCAAATTTTTAGGCCAGTCAGATGAAAGGCAGGACATAGCACGTTTGTGTTTTTGTGTATACATGCAAGCATTCCCAGATACTCTCAAGAGGACACCAATCCCACTATATTTGCTCGTGGGAGCAGAATAAACAGAGTGAACAAAAATACCACATGACCCATTCTAGCCTGCCTGAACCACCAACATAATCTAGAGCAATTAGAAAATGGAAAACAAGCCCTTCCAGAGAACTAAATCAACTGAACAACAAGACTGGTAATTGATTTGCAAACAATCATATCATTGCTAGGGAGATTTTTTATAACCAAACACTTTGACTATGTATGAGGCATTGCAGTTTTCCTACATGACTACACATGACATTTTCTGGGAAACAAATGTTTGACTTACTAAGGAGATGGTAGTTTGAGTCCCTTTCGTATTTGAAGGTCAGTCTGCCATAACTGACGTGGTTTAGGTTCTTCAGCCACTCAAAGTAGGAGACTGTCACACCTCCAGCATTCAGGTACATGTCCTATATATATATATATATATATATCCCTTTCGTATTTGAAGGTCAGTCTGCCATAACTGACGTGGTTTAGGTTCTTCAGCCACTCAAAGTAGGAGACTGTCACCATTCAGGCATTCAGGTACATGTCCTATATATATATATATATATATATATATATATATATATATATATACACACACACACACACACACACACACACACACACACACACACATACAATTATTTATTTTTAGTATCCTATTAGCATCAAAGGCTATTTTCAAGGCAAGATAAAAAATAGTTTAAAAAAGGGGGGGAAACTAAAATTTTATTACAATAATAGAATAAAACCTATATAAAAATCTCCTATAAATAAAATCAAAATAAGGTAATAGACAAAATAAGATCAAATCACCTATATATGCATTAATCAAATATTGTATAATAGGCTAGTAAATTTAGATTTAACATTCAAATAACAATTAGGACTGGAAAACGTACAGGGATCACCATGATATTCCTCTCTAGGAATATCTTGTCAGCTTCAGGGGTAGTGGGACCATTAGCTCCTTCAGCAATGATCTGTGAAAATAATAAGTGTTACTTTTTCTTTTTCTTTTTATATTCTCATTGCAGCTTCTGTGGAGTGGCATAATACAATAAATAACTCATCCACATTAAAATGACTCCATTGACCTCTAACCTTGGCCTTGATATTGTTGGCGTTTTTCTTTGTAAGCTGTTTCTCACTTGCAGCAGGGATCAGAATATCACACTCAGCTTCCAAGATGCTGCCTTCATAGGGGGTGGCATTAGGAAAGCCAACAATAGTGCCATTGGCCTGGAAAACGAGAGTATTTGATACATTTGGATTATAGATTTGAACATAGTACATGTAGTACTGCCAATTGGCCACAAGGTGGCAGCCTTACAGTGAATATTCGTACACTGCACTGAAGTTCTAGAATGTCACTCCAAAGAAAATGAGCGGTTCATACTCACTAGCTTATAGTCTTCCAGTTCTTTGGGATCAATGCCGTTAGGGTTCCAGATGCTTCCATCCAGCTCTCCGACACCCACACACTTTGCTCCATAACGGTGCAGGTAACGCATGGAGTGCAGGCCCACATTACCAAAACCCTACAGCAGAAAGTGGGAGAATGCATTAAATATTTTTTATACTGACAGCGGAACTGAAGGTAATGTGGAATACTGATGGATTCTGTGCAGGAACATTACTAAACATCTAAATACACTACAAAACAAAGTCAGTATTTGAGAGTCACAGTTAAAATATCTAAACATCACTAAAACAGCATACACTTGACTTGCTTTAGAAGTTCAAGTTAAAGATAATAAGAATTGTTTTGAGAGAATATAGCTTGAATTAACATACATTTTCTTACCCTTCTGCCAAATAGTTTAATCATAATCTAACTATATTTTTAGATTTATGCTTAAAACGGGGAAAAATACCAATACCAGTACACAAACTTAATTCAAGATATATTCACTATAAAAAGATATATTCAGTATTTTAAGGTATTTTATCTTAAGGTATCTTAAGGCATTTTACCTAACCTTAAGTGATTTATTTGGTTTGAATTATGTTTACATATACTCTCTCACACACACACACACACACACATAATAATAATAAATAAAATAAAATGGCTTATTTCTACTTGTATTTAGCACCAGATAAATGGGTTAAACCATGTTCATGCTGCAAAAAAAGAGCAATTTAGCTCTTGGCATTGTCTTTGAAGAAAAAAAAAAGCACAATATTCCATTATTATTCCATTAAATATACCACATGAAAAAACTACATCCTGTTCCAATTACTACTTCTTATATTTGCTATATATATTTATTTCTCTGACATGTCGCAACACATGGTAAAATTAATGAGTTTTTAATCATTTATGTAGGAAGTGTAACATTTGCTAGTTTCGCACCCTTTTAAGCTTTCTTTATACATATTAACTGGGCACCTAAAAGCACACACTGAATATTTAAAGTCCTTAGATAAGCAAAGTCAGAATGATCCGTGTCAGCATACACTAACTGCTGGCACAGAGTCATGAGATAATGGACAAAGTGTCTGTAAGTTCCACTATGCAAGCAGAATAATATACAATAGTACTTATATCATATTAAAAATCCAAAGTTTGGAGTTACCAGTGTATTTTGGGCCAATGCATAAGAAAAAATCTTTATCCAACTGATTTAATATGACAAAAAAAAACAAAGCATAATGTCATAAACTTGAAGTGCGGTTTATGTGATATTGACATGCACAAACCTGAATGACAAATGTCTTGTCTCCAAACCCCGGGCTCAGGCCCAGCTGGCTCATGTAAGCAGCCTCATTGACAAAGTTTTCAATGCCATGGAAGACACCACGGCCAGTGGCAGATATACGCCCATGGATTCCACCCTGACTGATGGGCTTACCGGTAACACAGGCATGAGCATTGATATCCTGATAAAAAAGAATTATAATTCTAAGCATTAGAAGAATGTTGTTTGCATTCAAACAAAATAATCTAAACTGTAATGCTTATTATGAGGCACAAAGCTATGATATCTTTAGTGTTAGAAGCTGGTGATTACTAGCGGTATGAGTATTCATTGTAAGGTATCTCTCATGTCCTTTCATTTATCTTGCTACAGGGCAGCTCGCAAACAGAACAGAACATCGTGGCTACCTAGACAAAGCAAATGACTGCCATGGGAGGACAGACAGTATTGAAGGAGTCTGTCAGGAGAGGGTGGAAAAACACAGGGGCGCTTTGTTCTCTTGGTCCTATAAACGCCACACTCTTTGTCAGGGACAGTAAAGGCTCTGGGCACTGAGTCACCAACACAGCCACAATCTGTTTGCTAGTTCTTACAGATATCCTGTGTGATTTTTCAACATATGTAAAAGCTTAATAGAAATCACTGCCCCATATCAAGGTAATGTATGCATCAAATTTTCTGTATGCGCTTATTTATCTACGATATTATGCTATGAAATGTGTCTTTGGGAGAAACTAGATCTGAATTTCCTGAAGGAAGTGTTTGCAAGGCAGCAAAAGAGTGATAACTTTTTGAGTAAGTTTAGTTTTTAGCTTACTTTTAGAAAACCAAAGTAAGTATGTCTTGTTTACGTGTATATATATATATATATATATATATATATATATATATAGTTAAATATATGCATGGCAAACAAGACTAATAACCATTCACTATGCAAAGAGAATTAAGAAAGAATACAACTGCAAATATTACAATAACATCATTGCTGCTAAATGTATTTTGAATACTAAAAATAGATAAAACAAATATAGCCTAAATTATAATATGGCTAACAAATTCAGAATGCATTTGATCCACTGCCATGACAACACAGTTATCCAGTGCTTTAAATCAAGAGAACAATATTTAAAAAATAAAACAAGAATTAAATAATGTATAAGTACATTTATCTTAAAATAAACTTTCTCTTAAACAGATACCTCTGGTTATCAGAAATAACAATGTAACTGCAGTGTGAACATAAATTCAAGTACTTTATGGGCTTTCGCTATATGCTACGGGACGTCTACATTCTTATCGTGCTGATTATTCAGCTGGCATATTAAATAAAAAAAACTGAAGAAATCTATCAGCATTTTAAAAATCATATCACCGTTATTGAAAAAAATTATATCGCAATACATATTGATATTGAATTATTGTCCAGCCCTAATCAGCATCAATTCAAATATCACTGCTTGCAATACAATTGTTTTCTTATACATTTTGCTAAAGCAAACCTGTTGTAAACTATATGAACACTTGGTCAGGTTCTTCAACTTACATGATGGCCCATTGTGTTAGCATATGTGTCAGCGATCCAGGACATTTCCCTTTCTCCAGTGCTCATGTCCGGTGCGGGGACGTCAATGCCAGGCCCTGACACAGGAAACAGAAATGAGTGTGCTACTGATCTTCCCTTACCATGGCCATGACTCATTTATTTAACTCAAATATCTCGACACAGTTAATGTCAATCATAAAAACCTCTGTGATAATATATTCATACGACATTATGGCTACTGCGTCACTGCACGGTATTTTGAGAGAAGCTACACTGACAGAGAGCAATGTGGGAATCCTGCACTCAAAAACACCAACTACCTCTTTTACAACCTCTTTGAACTATTGTAATATGAATACAGCTTATCTAGGCTTTTGGGCTACAGGTTAAATAGCTTGTAATGTAAGTGAAGTGAGTGAGTGAAGTGACATGTGGCCAAGTATGGTGACCCATACTCAGAATTAGTGCATTTATCCCATCCAAAGTGCGCACACACAGCAGTGAACACACACCCGGAGCAGTGGGCAGCCATTTATGCTGCGGCGCCCGGGGAGCAGTTGGGGGTTCGGTGCCTTGCTTAAGGGCACCTCAATTGTGGTATTGAAGGTGGGAGAGAGCTGTACATTCACTCCCCCCACCTACAATCCCTGCCAGTACGAGACTCGAACCCGCAACCTTTGGGTTACGAGTCCGACTCTCTAACCATTACTTCCCATTTAATGTAGAAGTGGTGTCAATTACAGCCTGACTGTTAATCTTTACTGTGCCATCTAATGCTAAGCATTACCTGGCTATTGTTCCTGAGTGTTGTGTTGTGGTTTAATCTTCCGTATAATTCCGGTTTTATTCTAGTCTAAATAGTAAAATATGCTAAACAGATGTCATTTGGGATCAACAAATATTGATAAACTACTGATTACTATAAATACAATATAAATATAAAAAAACTTTTCTGTAACATGCACTGCCTCATAATTAGCAGACTTATTTAGCATTTTCAGCACTCATACTAGGGGACATTCTGCAGAATTTTACTGAATCTTAAAATCTGTTAAACAGAGGACTATGCTTTTATTGGTAGATGAGTGCATAATTGTGAAAATTATTCCATAAACATCCACAAGGAATAAGGGATGCATAGACTTTTGTGCATGATGGGCATTTCGATTCTGCTGAGCTTTTGCAGAACTCTGGAGCAGATTCAGTTTGTGCATGCTCATAACTCACCAATGAAGCCCTTTTTAGCCAACTCAATAGTAAATCTTCTTGTAATCTTCTCCAGTTCTGTGTCCTGAGTAAGGAAAACAAAACAAAACAAAACAAAAAAAATGTCAGGACATCGGTGACTATAATTTGATTAACAATATGGAAGTATACATTAAGAAAGCAATGCTTGAGCATTCGTTGTTTCGGCTGTAGATGGGGAGTCGGTCATCTGAACGCTAAACTCAAAATTGCATGTTTAATACACAAATGATAAAATACAAACAAATAAAGAACAGTCAGAAACAGTCTCCTTAACAGACATTAAACCCTGTAGGATTTCACTTTACGAGTCATGAAATAAACAACATCCTGAATCTGGTTGGTTCTAGAGTTTCTGAATATCTGTGTTTAGTGAAAAAACTACATCTTACTGCTTTTTTTTTTTTTTTTAGAACAATGTCATAAAATATTCAACATCATCTAAAGGGGACAGACTCTAAATAAATATCTAGACATTCATCTGCAAGAGCATTTATTATTAGAGTCATAATATCTGAAGTTAATGTCTCTTACCATCTTCCAAAATTATATTTAGTCAGAGAATATGAAGAAAACACTCACGGAGTAATTCTTTGGGTTAATTTTCACCCCCGCTTTAGCTCCTCCAAAAGGCACATCTGTTGAGAGCACAGTTCATGTGAATGATTAAATGTTCATACTAACAACCACAACCAAATAAATGTACACATAAATAAATTTAAGCACTTACCTACAACTGCACATTTGTATGTCATTAGTGAGGCAAGGGCTTTCACCTCATCCACCGACACCTCTGTGCTGTAACGGATACCTGGAGAAGCAGAAGCAGTGTCCTCATCAGACTAGGTCTATGCAAATAATATCTGTAGATCACTCAAGTCATTAAACAAGCATCAAAATAAATCACATGCATTATAGCCTTTGTTTTAACTTGTTTCATGATGCTAAGACAGGATATTCTCTATCGATTAAAGCTTACAGACTACAACACTTTGATAACCTTTTATATTACTTGAGTGCTTATATAATTCGACACTTTAGGGCGTTTGAAAGCTCTTGGGGAAAAAAAAGAATAAATAATAGAATGAAAGCAGGCAAATATTTGCCCACTGCAAAAGTGGGCCTTGTCTATCAGTTAAAATAACATTGATGATCCAGACTAATATGCTGTTTAGAGTAGGACGTCTTGAAAATTAAAGGGGTCATATGATGCGATTTCAAGTTTTCCTTTCTCTTTTGAGTGTTACAAGCTGATTGTGCAGATAAGATCCCTGAAGTTGCAAAGACTAAAGTCTCAAAACCAAAGAGATATTCTTTATCAAAGTTAAGACTCTGCCACGCCCACCTAAAACAGCTCGTTCTAACACACCCCCACATATCTACCTCACTATGTGGAAATATTAGCATAATGCCACCCAAATGTGCACGCAAAGAAAGAAGGCGTGGTTTCAGTAACTGCAGTTAGTGTTGAAGCAGCCATGTCAGGGAGACGCTGTTTGTTTCTAGGCGAAAGCAAAAGCACTTTATTTGGCCTTCCGAAAGTAGATGCTTTTACAACCGTTTCGTGAACCTAGGAGAGGAGGTAATTCTGACTTTGCTATGACAATCTGGCGCTTCTGAATCAGCTACTGTTTTGTTATTAGTTTAAGTATTTGCTATTGACTGTTCAAATGCAGAGTATTGCGCATCGTGTGTGTGTGTGTGTGTGTGTGTGTGCGTGCGCGCACGCGCGTGTGAGAGAGAGAGAGAGAGAGATAGAGAGAGCGTCACATCAAAGTGGAGTCAGCTCTGTCTTTACATTTATTTTGAAAGATGAAGCTCGCGATTATGGTAAGGGGCGTTACATTTCCGACGAGTGCTTGCGGTGTTCGGCCAATCACAATGCATTGGGTCAGCTGGCCAATCAGGGCAGACTGCGCTTGTCGGAAGAAGGGACTTTGTAGAAAACGAAGCGTTTGAGAGAGGCGGGGCATAGAGGACCTACAATAATGTACAGTATTTGAAAAATAATGTGTTTTTTGAACATTAAAGCATGTCAACATATTCTGTTACACCAAATACACAAAATAATGATCTTTAAAAAAGCATCATATGACCCCTTTAAATTGCTCTAACGGCCTTGCACAAAAAAAATAAATAAAAACAGGGCCCAGATCCACAAAACCTCTTAAGGCTAAAAGTAGCTCATAGCTCACTGATTTAGGGTAAAATCTTAAAAATAATGGCCGTGTCAGTCCTAAATTTAGGACTCCTAAAAGAGTGTTTCACAAAGCATTTTAGCACTAAAACTAGCTCCTAAATCTGTGAAATGACAGTTCCTTAGTAAAAGTTTGTCTCAGCAGCTTTGTGAATAGGTTTTAAGAGAAAACTCTTAACTAAAAACTTTTACTGCTATTCAGGAGAACCTTTAGTGGTAAGATAAAATGTTCTGTGAATACGGGCCCAGGTCTACAGTTCTGAGAGGGGAAATTTTGTGTGGCTGAACAGGCAGTAAAGCAACCACCGTGATGACTCACTCTCTCCACTGAAATACAAGGGAAGAGAATCTAGGCAGGGCCCAGAATGGGTGTGGTTAAAGCCAATGTGACTACCCCAAACTAAACATCTGTTTTCAGTCGGCCTCAAAAGCACTGCTTGGAAAGCACTGGCAAGTTTCTTAAATTCATGGATGATGAGCTAGTAATTCATTTCAAATTACTACTAACATCAAATAAAGTTATTAGTGCAGATTTAAAGGCATAGTTCACACAAATTATTATTTTTTTCATTATTTATTCACCCTCAAAAGTTGGTGGTAGCCAGTGACATCCATTGAATGGAAAAAATACTATGAAAGTCAATGAGTACTAGCAACTCCCTGTCTGGTTACCAACATTCTTCAAAATATTTTTTTGTGCTCAACAGAAGAAAGAACCTCATACAGGTTTAGAATAACTTGAGGTTGAACACAATAACAAAAATGATAACAATATTTCCACTTTTGGGTGAACTATGCTTTTAAAGAACAGTCTCCTTGCTGAGTTTATTGGTGACTAAATGAGTAAGGAAACTTTAATTGTTTTAAAAGCCTTTTTTGTTGGTTCTTCAGTATGCATCTGGTTGAACGAGTATGTACTACTGTATATATTCAGTGAGTCCAAACAAAGTCTGCATCCTTTTACCTATTATATGAAATGTTTTTTCTTCATTTCTTGCATTTTTAATCAAATATTTGAATAAGATTGCAGGTTTTATTATTCTTTACCTAGTTTCCTATACCCCTATATAAGCCAATAGTAAAAAACAATATAGGATAAATTACAGCGATAAACTTTTTTTCTGAGGAGGAAAGAGCCAACTTTGATCTCTTCCCTCGTGGAAACTGGTTTTGAGGGCTCTTATACATTAGCTTAATCAGAGACTTCCCAGCACACAAGGTGCAAAAACACGTGATGTGTTATCTTGTTATCCGGTTACTAGACCTCAATGTAAAATCATTGACTAAACTAATTTATAAACTTAACAGTCTAAAGTCTAGACATCAGTTCAGTGACTGTCTCACTGAAAGCTCCCATTGAATCTACTCAATAGAAGATCGGGCAGAGTACATTATACGATCTCCTTCAAAACTTTGTTGATCAGTTCAGCCGAACTCATCTGCGATTTAGACCACTTAAAATGGAGGTTAAGGTACATGGGATGCAAGTTATATTATTGGTCTTTCTACAGTTGTCGTAGTTTTAAAAAGGGGGAAACAGTCTGAAAATGCTGATAGGATGGAGTTCTATTCGAGGAAACTGCAGAGATTGAGCTGCTCTTGGGGGGCTTCCACCTACCTTCCCTAATAAAGCATTGTACAGTCAGACCTGACAAAGCAAAATGGAATGGCAAACAGCTCTTATACAAGCACATTCCATTGATAATAAAGGAGTTCACAACTTCCAAAAAGTACACAAATATCTCTGCAAAGATAAGACTGTAATTTATATGATGGATGGGCAGGGGGGGGGGCTTTTCAATCTGTATTTTGGAACATGCAGATGGATTTCAGCTGGTCTAAGTTGGCCATTAGCTTGTATAACATTCTTGTACCAGAAACCAATTGGTCCTACCAGCATAAGGTGATGAAACTATGTTTTAAAATACTAGTTGGTTTCTATCTGGTCTAAGATGGACACAAGCTGGTCATATGCTACAACAAACCGGCTAGACCATCTTAGACAACCTAATGTACACATTAGACCAGCTAATGACAGGTTTGGACCAGATAAATAAACGAAACCAGTTAATTCTGATATAACACCTAAATATTAGCCTTTTTATTACCATCTACAGTACGCTGCATATTGATTGTATTGTGAAGCTTCAAACTCCGTGTCAGTAACGCTTGCACGCCAAGAGTCTCAGTGTCGCTGCTGCGCAACCGCGATATGGGACTTTTTTTCAAGTTCATGGCAGAGAAGGCCTATCGTGTAGCACTGTCAAATTTTAAAGACAAAGCGTGTAAATAAATGTGTTGGACACACGCCACCACAAAGTAAACTTCAGAAGATGCTTTGACAGGTAAGTGAGATGTGTTTTAGTTTGCATCTGTTTTCTCTCGAGAGCGCGACTGCTTCCTATTAACGCCTGTGTAAATAATGCATGAACTTGCCTCCTTTACACGGGGTCCTGTGCTGACTGTGTTGAGCTCTATAGCCCTCGATCATCTCCCACTCCCCGTTGTCTCTCTTGATGGGGAATGACACGGACAGGACGTGGTTGCAGGGCTTGATGATCTTGAGGATCCCCCGCACTCGGTGTCTCTTCTGCTCGGGCGTTTCTCTCGTCTTGAGATCGTGCACGAGTTTGTCCTCCACGATAGAAGCTCCGCGGTCGAAGAAACCCTCGACCATCCTAAAGAAGTTCGGGTCATCGTCTTTCTCTCCCACGGCTTCGCTGTAACGGCGGATCCGCGTGAGAGTCGCTGAAGCAGGCAAAGCGGAGTCAACGCATCCCGAGGCCAGCGCGCGGGTGACGAGCTCCCCCAGACACCTATACATGGTTTTGAACTAACCTACTAACTAACAGTATTAACAAAGAGAGGAAAAACTAAGACAGAAGGTGTCAAAGGGTGGAACGGGGTGAATAAACGGACACCACAGCTCCTCCTTTTTTCCCCACTCAACAAAGTGTCAGCTTGAGGACTGTTTGTGAGTTGTTTTAAGCGGCAGGCGTGCCGTGGGTCTCCACCTCAAGCTGGGAGGCGCTCAGAGAGCAGGAACTCGTAAGCAAACACTGCGCTTTGAAAAAATATTAACAAGCATTAAAGTTGCTGGTGTCTATGAAATAAATATATTGGCTAAACTTATGTAATATCTCTTTAAAAAACGGAGGGGGGGGGGTGTTATTTGAGGTACTATGTATGTAGCCTACTGTAATTGTCATGGTATTTTACTACAGACTAATAGAAGTGGATTTAAGAAATTGTGAAAGATAATTTTTTTTGTGTGTAGAAGGAATGCCACTTGAAAAGGGCTTTCAAAACAGACTGCGATGCCTATAAATAACACAATTAACTTAGAAAAAAGAAATATATAGGCCTATGCCAGTATTTCTAGAGCTGTTTATTTTGTAGTCCCAAAACCCAGAAGAGAATTTGCATTTTGAGCCATGATTCCCTCTGAAGTTTCTTTTTTTAGCATGGTGGTCTGAGATGTATGAATAAAATAAGATTTGCGATTTACACTACATTAAAGGTGCTGTGATTGACACCGAGTGGTTGAACTAGGTATTGCAGTCCAAATTCAAAATATTGGAGAGGGTTTTTTTCACCCGGCCCCTCCTTCTCAGACTTGACGCAAACGCAGGTTGCCAGATTGACGACACCAACAGGAACGAGCGCACTTAACGATGAATAAAATGAAATGCGCTGTGTTTCCCGCCAACTGGCAACCCGGGGTGCCGAAATACAATTGGGTTTCACAAACCAAAACAGACAGACATTCCGGCCCGGAACGCACATTTTCAAAGGAGAATAACTGACTGTAGCATTGTTTTTCAGATAAACAAGTATGTCAACTTAGCATGTTTCTTAAATATCTGCAAACGTATGGTATTTTTATGCTTTAGTAGAGTCAAAAGCTCGCAATTAAGAGAGATTAAGATGAAGTTTCTGATTTTAATGGCTTTCTGCAAATTAGTTAAGTCTCAAATACATAAAGTATTTGAGTGGATTTCTAGATTGATTTTTAATATTAGGAAATATTCTCGTTTTGTGTGTAGTATTAGCAGTTGTTCAGTATAGTATGTTCTTTAAAAGCAATATATTTTTGGGGGTGGAATGTTGTTTATCTTCTATGGCACATGCACAGAAGGATAATCAAGGGCAATGACCCTGTGTTCTGTGCTCTCTCTCTCTCTCTCTCTCTCTCTCTCTCTCTCTCTCTCTCTCTCTCTCTCTCTCTCTGCACACGGAATGTTGTTTATCTTCTATGGCACATGCACAGAAGGATAATCAAGGGCAATGACCCTGTGTTCTGTGCTCTCTCTCTCTCTCTCTCTCTCTCTCTCTCTCTCTCTCTCTCTCTCTCTCTCTCTCTCTGCACACAAAAACAGATATGACTTAAATATGACACTAAAAAGTGCCTTATATGTATTTTCCCTTTACAAGGTGACTACCAGATTTACTCCTTTATTTCACCTGGGGTTACAGAGTTATGTCATAACTTCTTTGTGTCTGCTGTAATCTGTTCCTGCCTGATATACATCCTGCTCTGGAGATCAGCTCTTTCAGGGCCTCTTTTATTGTTTTCCAGGGAGGAATTTGTGCTTGTTTTTTGCAGTCTCCCGGGATATGTCTCAGTGTGTCAATATGTCTCCATTGCCTTAGAGAATTATAGTAGGTGGACAGCAGCAATGGATTACTATACTTATATTTCATATGCTATTGCTATTAAAAATTACGTTACTTACTATTTGTACAAGATGCCATGACCTCTGTGTCAGTGACATACAGTAAGAGTGTCCATAATTATAATAATAAAAAATAAGACACATGTGATAAGTTCTTCGAAATGCACTCTTTTTTTATTCATGTTGGGTTCACATGACTTTGAAAAACATTTTTTAAAACCATTTTCAAGAAAAGTTTCATTTGATGGTGTAAGTAAAAGTAACAACATTTTTCCCCCATACACCTTGAATACATGTGAGAATCAGATAAAGCAAGAAAATCTGTCTGCTCTAAGTCCTCTTTCTTCGACAGTGCCACCCCTCCATACCTCCATCTCAGTCTACAAATTCTGCTTGCAATAAATCACACTAGTTTAAAAGAACCTGTGCTGCTCTGTTATTGGCTCATGTGGTGCCTACACCCATCATCTGGTTGGTGAAGTTCTGGAGAGTCACTCATTAAAATGCTGTTTTTCTTTTGCTAAGTGAAAACAACTAATCTGAGGAATGCACACGTGCACAGACACATTAAAATGCTCTCAGTTATTCCCACCAGCTGTGAAGGTTTTTCAGTGTATTCCTGCTTGTCTTCCTCATTGACCTTGCTTGGAGTTCTTCTTTACTGTAATTTAGCATAATTTAGCAACTGTGTGTAGATATATATTTGGTTTTTGATAATATTTAAAGGGATAGTGTAGTTTTATTCTTTATATACTCTCAATATTATTAACATTTTTTAATTAGCTTTTATTTTTGAATGTTCAGTTTTCATTTTACTTTTACTTTATTTTAGTAATTTTTGTGCTTTTGGCATTTTTAGTAGTTTTTTTTATTTTAATAATATTGTTTTTTAATATTTCTGTTCAGTTTTATTTTTATTTCAGTTTTAGTAATTTTAGTACTTAAACCTACATTTATTTAATTTTAGTTTTTTCGTGTAATATTTTTATTATTCCAATGAATGAAAGTGATTTAGCTTTTAATCGTTTTAGTTGAGTTTTAGTAAACACTGGGGATAGTTTGCTCAAAATTGAAAATTTTGTCATCATCACCTACTCACGTCGTTCCTAACCTGTGTGACTTATTTTATTTTGTGGAAGACAAAAGAAGATATTTTGAAAAAGGTTTTTCCATGCATGTTCTTTTATTCATACATGAAAATCAGCTGGATCTTGTGTTGTTTTGGACACCATTGACTTTCATTGTGTGGAAAAAAACATTTGAAACGTTCTTCAAAATATCTTCTTTTGTCTTCCGCAGAAGAAAGTCATGAGGGTGAGGAAATGACGACAGAATTTTCATTTTTGGCTGAGCATGCCTTTAATAATTTTGTGAACGTTTGTCTATTTGCTTTAACTAACAGTATGCATTTCTGTTTTCCTACAGATGGCCTCTTTAATCTGGCAATCTTATGACTGGCCCAATATCATTCCAACTTAAGGACTGGAAAATGGCTAACAAACCAAAGATTCATGTTTTTTTGGGTGCCCCATGTCCCCAAGGGAATGTTGTTTATCTTCTATGGCACATGCACAGAAGGATAATCAAGGGCAATGACCCTGTGTTCTGTGCTCTCTCTCTCTCTCTCTCTCTCTCTCTCTCTCTCTCTCTCTCTGCACACAAAAACAGATATGACTTAAATATGACACTAAAAAGTGCCTTATATGTATTTTCCCTTTACAAGGTGACTACCAGATTTACTCCTTTATTTCACCTGGGGTTACAGAGTTATGTCATAACTTCTTTGTGTCTGCTGTAATCTGTTCCTGCCTGATATACATCCTGCTCTGGAGATCAGCTCTTTCAGGGCCTCTTTTATTGTTTTCCAGGGAGGAATTTGTGCTTGTTTTTTGCAGTCTCCCGGGATATGTCTCAGTGTGTCAATATGTCTCCATTGCCTTAGAGAATTATAGTAGGTGGACAGCAGCAATGGATTACTATACTTATATTTCATATGCTATTGCTATTAAAAATTACGTTACTTACTATTTGTACAAGATGCCATGACCTCTGTGTCAGTGACATACAGTAAGAGTGTCCATAATTATAATAATAAAAAATAAGACACATGTGATAAGTTCTTCGAAATGCACTCTTTTTTTATTCATGTTGGGTTCACATGACTTTGAAAAACATTTTTTAAAACCATTTTCAAGAAAAGTTTCATTTGATGGTGTAAGTAAAAAAAAAGTAACAACATTTTTCCCCCATACACCTTGAATACATGTGAGAATCAGATAAAGCAAGAAAATCTGTCTGCTCTAAGTCCTCTTTCTTCGACAGTGCCACCCCTCCATACCTCCATCTCAGTCTACAAATTCTGCTTGCAATAAATCACACTAGTTTAAAAGAACCTGTGCTGTTCTGTTATTGGCTCATGTGGTGCCTACACCCATCATCTGGTTGGTGAAGTTCTGGAGAGTCACTCATTAAAATGCTGTTTTTCTTTTGCTAAGTGAAAACAACTAATCTGAGGAATGCACACGTGCACAGACACATTAAAATGCTCTCAGTTATTCCCACCAGCTGTGAAGGTTTTTCAGTGTATTCCTGCTTGTCTTCCTCATTGACCTTGCTTGGAGTTCTTCTTTACTGTAATTTAGCATAATTTAGCAACTGTGTGTAGATATATATTTGGTTTTTGATAATATTTAAAGGGATAGTGTAGTTTTATTCTTTATATACTCTCAATATTATTAACATTTTTTAATTAGCTTTTATTTTTGAATGTTCAGTTTTCATTTTACTTTTACTTTATTTTAGTAATTTTTGTGCTTTTGGCATTTTTAGTAGTTTTTTTTATTTTAATAATATTGTTTTTTAATATTTCTGTTCAGTTTTATTTTTATTTCAGTTTTAGTAATTTTAGTACTTAAACCTACATTTATTTAATTTTAGTTTTTTCGTGTAATATTTTTATTATTCCAATGAATGAAAGTGATTTAGCTTTTAATCGTTTTAGTTGAGTTTTAGTAAACACTGGGGATAGTTTGCTCAAAATTGAAAATTTTGTCATCATCACCTACTCACGTCGTTCCTAACCTGTGTGACTTATTTTATTTTGTGGAAGACAAAAGAAGATATTTTGAAAAAGGTTTTTCCATGCATGTTCTTTTATTCATACATGAAAATCAGCTGGATCTTGTGTTGTTTTGGACACCATTGACTTTCATTGTGTGGAAAAAAACATTTGAAACGTTCTTCAAAATATCTTCTTTTGTCTTCCGCAGAAGAAAGTCATGAGGGTGAGGAAATGACGACAGAATTTTCATTTTTGGCTGAGCATGCCTTTAATAATTTTGTGAACGTTTGTCTATTTGCTTTAACTAACAGTATGCATTTCTGTTTTCCTACAGATGGCCTCTTTAATCTGGCAATCTTATGACTGGCCCAATATCATTCCAACTTAAGGACTGGAAAATGGCTAACAAACCAAAGATTCATGTTTTTTTGGGTGCCCCATGTCCCCAAGCACTTGCTGAAGAGGTGCAGGAGAGACCAGCCCCACACTGGAAGACTATGGACCTCACTTGGAGTCAAGGCAGGTTGATTCCCAAGGACACCATTAGAGAAGCCCAAACAGATGATGCATGCGGTACGATGGTTAGTGGAAGAACACAATCTGCAGTTACCTCTGAGAGAGCACCTGAGAGTACAAAGGACAGAACGGAAACATCACAGGATGATAGTACTCCATCGGGCTGCCAGTGCTCTCAATCCAAGGAAAAGTCTGTTGAAGAAGAGGAGTTGTGTCCTGTATTAGTGACAGAATACCTAGATAGTTGCTTCTCCTCACATACTAGTTTAAATAGACATGGCAGAGATGGAAGGCCTACCTCGCCTGTTTCAACAGAGACTGAGTATCTGAGTACATGGACAAAGTCCCAAGCCTTGCTTCTTCGAAGTAGAGTGTCCCGATGTGAAACTTCTGGTTTTCTTGAAGACTTTCTTTTTGGTTCTCCACACACCCCTCCCAAACAAACGCCCTCAGCCTCTATAAGTTCCCCAGAGTTGTACAGTCCTGTGGTCAGCCCTGAAGAGAGGGGCTTGGGGGGAACCTTGCAAAGCTCAGGAGAGTGGCATAATGAGAGTCTAAGCCAAAGACAGCAGGAGAGAGGGGTGATTCTTGAAGTCACACCTGACGGCATCCTCTGCTCTCAATGTAATGCTATGGCTGAAAAACCTGTGGATCATGAGGAAGTTGGGCTTAATATTGACTCACCAATTACATTTGAACAGACTTCACCTAGTCCCACTACTTCTAAAAGGATGAAGTTGTCTCAGTCTGTAAGTAAAACTAAAGAAACAACAGAGCAGAGGGCAAGAACTACCGCTGCCCCCCTCTGTGGTCCTTCAACCCTGCTGGCCAGGTGTAAGACTCATGATGTACGATACGCCATCTTGGTTGCTGTGGTGCATCCATGCCACTTAAAAGAGGTCAAAGTGAAAACTGGAGCTTCAGCTGGAACCAGTGTGCCTCTAGCAACACTGATTGTCACAGACCAATCAGATGTGGAGATGAAGGTGGTGCTATGGAGGACAGCGGCTTTCTGGGCTCTGACAGTTTTTCCAGGAGATATTCTGCTAATTACAGGTGAAACCACTGAGATCTCCTCATTAGATCTATAAATGAACACTTTTTATGTTGTGTTGGGCAAAGGTTGGTCTTAAAATGGCCAAATGCAGAAAATCTGAATTTATGTTAATTAACAAATGTTTATGACATGAAATACTGTGCAATCTCTCATTAAATACAATATTTCAGAATAATTCAGAAGTCAGGTTTATTGGCTAATTAAGTTATGATTTGACTTATACTCAGATGTTTACTCACATTCTCATAATATAACAAAATATACATATACGCTACCACCCAAAAGTTTGGAGCCAGTAAGATTTTGTTTTTAAGAAATTAATACTTTTTTTCAGTAAGGATGCAATAAATTGATCAGTAAGTGACAGTAAAGACATTTCTGTTTCAAATTAAGTCTGTTCTTTTCAACTTTATTTATCAATAAACCTGAAAAAATGTAAAAAATGTCATGTATTTAAATGTATTTAACTAAAAATAATAAGCAGCAAATTTTTCAACATTGATAATAAGATATGATTCTTGAGCACCAAATCAGCATATTATAATGATTTCTGAAGGATCATGTGACACTAAAGACTGGAGTAATGGCTGCTGAAAATTGTGCCATCATAGGAATAAATTACATTTATATTAAAATAAAAAAAACAGTTATTTTAAATTGTAATATTTTACAGTATTTTATTTGACTGTATAAGAGACTTCTTTCAAAAACCTATATACAATATACTCTGAAATTCAGAATTATATAGATCACATCATCTATTTAAAAATCATGATCAAAAGGTTTTGTCATGCAGCATGTTACTTCATAACTTAAAAAAACAGTAGTGTTCACTGTATTTGCAGGAATGTATTTTTAAACATGCATTTGAATGAATCTTTGTCAATGGGATGGGTGTGAACATAGGAAATGTACAACTAAGTAACAAAACAAGAATATCAGGACAATCCTCAAAAATCATGACCTGTCAGTTCAACAAATGGCGGATCAGTTCAGCGAAGCTCATTTAACCAGTATATCTAGAACAACAGTGAATCTTCTTAAAATAAAGTGGTCTAAATGGATGTGTTGTTGAAAACCCACGTGTGAGATATGCAGTCTAATGAAATGTCCTGTATGCTTCACTCACGGTTATCTTTCTGTCTTTGCTTTGGCAGATGTGACAGTGCACATAGACAAGTGGAAGACTGAGACTGTCCTGCAGTCGTCCTTCACCAGTAAGCTGCTGAATTTGGGACAGGTCACAAGGGAACGTACTCCACTAGGTAACAGAAACGTAATTGCTACAGAGGCTTAACCTAAGCATTTTGCCAAGTTAAAGGTATAGATGTCACATTGCAATGCCTGTTTACATTTAAATTTGACCTTATTAAGTTATTGACTGTATAGGTCGTTTCCTGCTGTTGAAATGTTGATCTTGTAGCCCCACAGAATTTGAACTGTCATAAATTGAGAACGCTGTGCACTCATCTGTGTGAGAAGCGCCCCCTGTTGGTGTCTCTGCCTCCTCACAAGCCTCAGGATTTGCACTCTATTCCCTTCATCCGCCTCGGAGCATTACGTCCTGACACATTGGTTCATGCTCTGCTTAGGGTTAAACACTGGAAATTAATCACAGGTATAGAACTGCATTATAATCCCATGTTTCAGATGATATAGCGATGTGATAACATGAAAGTAGCAATGTACAAGAAATTGTCAGACCACTGGATGACACAATTAACCAATCAGAATAAATTAACGTTAATAAATTGACTTATATGTGCCTTGTGCTTCACATTCATTTCACATACTAAAGGAATTTCAAAGGCAACTAGAAGACATTTTTGTGACATAATGCTGTTTTGCTTGATTTTAGCTTGGCGTGATGAAGCAGAGGGGATATCCAGATCAGGTGGTGTACTAAAAGCCATTTTGAATGTGGAGCAAAGAGATGGCCACCAAGGTGCTGTTATACTTTGGGGAGCTACTCTCTCTTGGCTGCAGCGTTTGGAGAGGAACAAAGGTGTTTTATAATTCAGTGATTCAACCAGAGGGCTATGACCCAGTAGGGGGCCTCAGGAAACTTCCAAAGTGGCCACAGGATGACTTAAATAACATTTAATATATTATTTAAATATTAAAATTAGCACATTGTTATTATTATTATTATTATTATTATTATTATATTAAAATAGATAAATGTTAATATATATTGACATATATATTATGACGTATATTATGTCAAGTGTTAATGTATATATGTATATATTAAAAATGCTAACACATAAAACAAAGGTGTAAACTGAAAACAATCAAGGTTGAGAACCACTGTAATAAAGCAAATTATTAAAATTATAAAGAAATTTGAGTTTTTTTTATACATATATATATAATTGTGCATCATTTTGTATTGCTAATGCACCTCACAGATGCTGTGTGGGAGTTCAGGCTGCTGCTGGTCAGACAGGATGTGACCTCAGGTTTGCTAGAGCTGCATTCTACTCCATGGAGCACCTGTCATCCTCTCTTTCCTGATGACAATCGATGTAAGGAGTTTTACAACACTGGCTGCTCACAGAGAACCGCTAGAAGTTTTGAGATTGATCTCAGCACACTCCTGTCCCAGAAATACTCAGGTACAACTTTTTTGTTGATGTTAACGATGCATTCGTTTAGTATAATTGATGATAGCTACATTAAGACTGTCTTGTTTATGCACTCATTAGGGGATGTAGAGCTGAGAGTTAAAATCACGGTGTTCCAGTTCCAGAGCAGTCCATCCCAGGAGGCCTCACTGTTAATAGATGGCAACACGCCCTTGGAGAGGATCCTGGACGTAGTCTCTGGTGACATCATCTTTGCCGGCTGTGGCCAGTGCTCTGCAGAACTGGAAACAGATGAGAACAGCATATACAGACCCTGCTACCCATGTCTGCCACACACAGGAGTGCGTCGCTACTATAGGTCTGATCTATTTTTCTGTCTCATCCAAAGTATACATACATACATGCATACATATACAAACACACACACACACTTTTATTTGATTCAAGAATATAGTAAAACAGTAATATTGTGAAATATTATTACAATTTAAAATAACTGTTTTCTATTTTTATATATTTTCAAATGTAATGTATTCCTGTGATGGAAAAGCAGGATTTTCAGCATCATTTCTCCAGTCTTCAGTGTCACTTGATTCTTCGGAAATCATTCTATGCTGCTTTGATGCTTATTTATTATTTATTTTCAGTTATTATTAGTCCTCAATTATTAATGATTCTTATTATTATCAATAATGATATATTTATGATAATAATAGTTTTGTGGAAACTTTCTTTGATTAATAGAAAGCATTTATTTAAAGCATTTATTGGATTCCACAAAAATATTAAGCAGCAGAAACAGTTTTCAAAAATGATTTATGAAGGATCATGTGACACTAATGAGTGGAGTAATGGCTATTTAAAATTCAACATTAATGTCAAGATTATTTTAAGAGAGACATGGAACTAGCACAGTGTAAGAAACTGATTGCCAGAGACAAAGGTAAATTATACAGTTTACTAGTCATTAAATACTATTATCAGATAAATAAATAAATATTTATATTTATAAGTAAAAATTATATCATATAAATAAATATTTATATTGCTAAAACGGCATAAAACTGCAAACTGAAATTGCCCGGTTATCTTGATCTACTTTCTCATTTTGACTTGTTTTTGAAGGCCAGTTGTTTTAACTGTGAGAGCTGGAGATGATCAAATCTGCGTGCAAGTCCCTTCTGCTCTAGTGCAGAAGATCCTCCTGAACACTCCCCCAGATAAGCTACATAAGACCATAGGTGAGGTACTTCTCTGTTTTCCCCCTTCTCCAGTGTTTTCCTTTATTTGTGTCATGATACATATACATGATTTAATTATTGTATCTTTAAAAGTTTTGTGTGTGTGTGTGTGTGTGTCTAGCCCCAGCATCAGAGGTGAGGTTCATCCAGGTAGTAGCTAACAGGATTAGTTCCATATTGACCCCCATGAAGAACACATTTATCCTGACGGTCCGAAGCCATTTCCAGTGTGATGACAACAGCATTCCTGTCATTCAGAACTTTTTATTATTAGACTTCAGCTCACTAGAGGTGTGAAGAATAATAATGTACCTTTAAGATGATGCTGTGTATTTTATGATAGGATTATTCTATGATTAAGCTGTCTTGTCTAATTTTATTATCTAATTTTCACAACACATGATTATTTTTGCATCCTGGATATATTTTTTTGAAAGATGTATTTTAATGTTGCTTCAGCTATAATTTAAAATGTATAAATTAAAAAATGAAATGCAGTGTCTATCCTCAGTATGGTCCATAGTATGTGTGTGCATGTATGCATATACTGTATATATATATATATATATATATTTTTTTAGTCATTTAGCAGACGCTTTTATCCAAAGCGACTTACAAATGAGGACAACAGAAGCAATCAATTGTAGTATTAAAACAGATTCAAAACTTAAAGCTAAAACTTTATAAATACTACTTATACACATTTTAAAAATAAAGAAATTAAATAAAAATGACAAATGCATACAACAACATTTCAAAACTTAACATTTAAATGAAAAACAAAAAATAAAGCTAAAAACAATTCAAAATATTAAAGAACAAAAGGTATTATACACTGTGTTCCAAATTATTATGCAAGTGACATATCAATAGGATTTCAGTACAATACACAGTCAGATTTTTGTTTGTTTTGATTTTCACATCATTTCAGGTAACTGGTATCAATCTCAATAGTTTGCCAGGTCTTCTAAGGTAAATGGAAACCTTACTTAAAGAGGTTGTTCCACATTATTAAGCAAGTCCCAGTTCTCATGAAATATGGTGAGGAAGAAAGATCTTTCTGAAGATGACATGTATGAAACAATGCAATGTCTTGCAAAAGGCATCAAAACAAATAATATTTTGCGAAAAGCAAATAGAGATTATTGAACTGTCAAAAGATTTGTGAGTGACTTAGAGCACAGAAGATCTTGGTCAGATAAAGATTTATTAAGGAAAGTTTCTGTCAAACAAATGAACTGTATTGTAATGGCAGCTGTAAAAAAGCCACTGCTGAGCAGCAAACAGGTGTTTGAAGTTACTGGAGTCTCAAGATCCTCTCCTTTGTGGCCAAACCTCACAAAGAGAAACCTGCACAGTGGCTGTAGAAACACATTTTCAAACTGTTTAGCACCATGGTATTTATGCAGCATGGGATAGTGTGTTGTCCTGCATGAAAATCCTTTTATTTCCGAGAGCACTATTCTTCATTTTATACCACAGCAGAAAATGGTCAGTTATGAACTCCACATATCTTGCAGAAATCATTTTGACACCCTAAAATGACCTTACATCTCACTTCCCTATATTACGAACCCAAATCATCACCCACCGCCTCCTTGCTGATGTTGCAGTCTCATTGGAATAGGATGGCCATTCATCAACTATCAGAAATCCATTTATCTGGACCATCCATTGTACTGCAGCATTCGTAAGTGAATAAAACTATTTAAAAACAAGTCTTCATGTGTTTCTACAGCCACTGTGCAGGTTTCTCTTTGTGAGGTTTGGTTAGCAGTGACTGAAACGCAGCTTTACACACAACTGCCAGTCTGCATGGAGAGGATCTTGAGACTCCAGTAGCTTGAAACATCTGTTTGCTGCTCAGCAGTGGCTTTTATACAGCTGCCAATTCAATACAATTCATTTGTTTGACAGAAACTTTCCTTAATAAATCTTTATCTGACCAAGATCTTCTGTGCTCTTAAGTGTTTCCCAACCGGGGTGCCGTGTAAAAAATATAGTAATAATAGTAATATTTTTAAATGGCTAAAATGTTTTTAAAAAGCATCGATTATATAATATCCATTTCTGATGTCGCCAATAATTAGAGATGCACCGAAATTTCGGCTGCCGAAAATTAGTTCACCGCTCAGGATTCACTTTCACGTGGTGTGACGCTCTGCGTATTATCCTGCTCTATGTGTGTGTGTGTGTGTGTGTGTGTGTTATCCTGCTCTGCGTGTGTGCGCTCCGCTCAGTCGCTCCACTCGTATACCGTTCATGCGAATCGGAACAGCAACGTCCACTCAAAAATTGAGCCGACAGGAAACATCTATGTAGTACAGTATTGTTTCTGTCTGCAATAGCCTTACTGTGTTGTAACATGGTGTGGTATATGGGCAACTATGGTAAAGCTGCTCTCTCATTCATTGATATGCTAACCGCTATGTTATGCTCACGTGTTCTGATCATAATAGCTTTCTAGGACTAAACATTATTTGGATAATTGGTAAAAAAAAACCCTACTGTTAGATCTACCTGAAAAACTAAAAAGCAATGTATTTAATTTGAAGGCGTGGATGGATTGTCGTTATTTTTTATTTGTGCTATCATTATTAATTTCTTTGTTTGTTCTTATTTTATTACTGACTGCTTACTTGTCATTTTTTATTCAATTCAAAGTTTGAAATCAAGCTATCTCGTGCTACTGCACCAAAATTACCCCACTGTAAAATAAAAAAACACTGACTGAGCAAAAATTTGTGAGATAGCTAGTTATAATGGTAATTAAATAATGTTTACATATGTATAAAAGCCTACATTAAAATATGTCATATACATTAGTCTCTTCATTAGAAATTAGCCTACTGATTGCCACCATTGATGGACAAAATTTTTTAATAATATTAAAAATATCTGTATGACATTATATTCTGCAGTTCTTCCCTGTTGTACCGAATATCTATACTTTTCAAATGATCATATCTAAGATAGAAATTCAAATATTGTAACAAAATTAATTTTGTAGGGTGCCACAAGTTTGTTAAAATTTCCAAAGGGTGCCGCGGCTGAAAAAAGGTTGGGAAACACAGCTCTAAGTAACTCACAAATCTTTTGACAGTTCAACAATTAGTATTTGCTTTTAGCCAAATATTGTTTGTTTTGATGCCTTTTGCAAGACATTGCATTGTTTCATAAGATCTTTCTTCGACACCAGAACTGTGACTTGCTTAATAATGTGGAACAATCTCTTTAAGTAGGGTTTCCATTTGCCTAAGAAGACCTGGCCTGTTTTTATACAGTCTATGGTTTTGGCTCATACCCTAAAAGTGGCAATTTCAACAAGCTATAAAAAATGATCTGTGGGATATTTTGAGCTAAAACTTCACATACACACTCTGAGGACACTGAGAGACTTATTTTACATCTTATATAAAGGGCCATAATAGGTCACCTTTAAGCAATCCTGTCTATTGCATTATGTCATAGTTATGATGGAATTAGATTATCAGATTGGACAGTTCATAGTCTAACTTTGCTATAAGCTTTAAGTATTGGATGATTTATTTTTATTAGCAGTTGAAGTAAAACTGATATTCGAGCGGAAGTTTTGGAGAACATGCAAATAATGATTGGTATGAGAACCAATCAAAACTCTCCCATCAGGCCACGTGATTGCGGAATTCCCCTTGAGTCGGGGCTTTCCAGTCCGACGAGTGTTAGATTCATGTACGCTCGCGTTGAGTGTTCACTAAATATTTATTAAAGAAACTGGAACAGATTTGTTTGATGGGTGGTGTATTTTGTTTATGTTTTTCAGGCGTTTGCTAAGATTTTAGCAGTGGTTTAGCTAAGTCGACGTCAAATAGAAACTATACGAGAATATAAGCAAACATCACGGTTGTCCAAGGTAAGTTTAATATGTGCTCATGTAGTAAAAACGAAATTATCAGTATTACCGATCAGTTTTGTAACAAGTCATGTGTGTCTATAAATAGTAGAGAATAATAGTCTGCTTTCTTATTTGGAAGTAATGACTTAGTTCATAGAGAATCTATTTTAAGTTTGTTTTGAAAACATTACAGAGATGCTGTAACGTTAGTTATGCCCTCGCGTGCATAGAGTATTACTGCATATTAATAATAAGTTCATTAATGGCGGTTATCGATAATGTACAAGTTATGCCCCGTGTGTTTTGCTGCTGTTCGCGCGAATCTGCGGGAAATTCCCATCAAAAGTCAGTACTTTTTGGATCTGACTTAACGTTACATGTGCCGGGGAATCACATCCCCCATCGAATACCGTGTAAGCAAACCAAGCACTCATCATTTCCATCATTTTCAATCTGACAGGAGTCCAGAGTCGGTTCGGATGACCCTGCAGAGCACAGAATGGCTGGAGCACTAAGGTAGAGTTTTATCCACTATTGCTGTGTCTCGCATCCTAGTAAGCTGTCTGCCTGTGCTGCCTTTGATTGGGCATCACTGGCACATACAGCATTTAGATGCCCAGTAATGGTTTCCTGACCTGCAGCTCACTTGGTTATGAGACTTGTAAAGGTAAATGTACTCCAAAATGTTTGGAGGTGATGACATGGCGCTTCTAGTCTTGTAATTAGTCAGATTTTCATACTGAAACTAATAGACTCCTAACATGTAAATAATTAGAGGGTTTAAATACAATGGCTTATTTGCCTTTTAACTGCATGTGTATGGAAGAGTTGGAACCGTTAAAATCAAGTTTATTGGTATTTCTCTACATCAAAAAAGCTTTGTTCCTTTGAAAGGAGCAAGTTTCATTTTCTTGTGGTTAGTCTTTAAAGAGCATTGTAATGTATTGTCTTTAAGCCTAAGCTGCTTGATTTGAACCTTTCTATTGAGAGCAATTATGAGTGTCAATAAAATGTAATAATTTGTCCAAAAATTAATTTTGTGATTCTGTTTCAATAGATGTATATATTCAATTAATGTATAGTAACATACTGAAAGACATGATGTCAGTAATGCTTTTTTTTTTTTTGTTAGCATTTTAATTAAATTGGATTACGTTAATATAACTTTTATGAATAATTGACTAATTTTGCACCTTTGGATGTTTACTGTGGCCTCCTGGCGGGCCCCAGGCCCCTGTTTGACATCCGTTGTTTTAGACTGATGAAACCAGTCTTTCTTTTGCATTTTCTTAATGAATCTTTTTGTCTATATATGAGATAGATTTAGGGGTTGTTTGACTGAAGTGAAGATGTCATCATTTCACAGAATAAGGACAGGATGTGGTTTTAATCCAGAAGAGTCTTACTCTCTTTTCAGTGATGTCAGGAATTGCAGTTTCACTCAGTGAGCCCTGACACCTCAGAAAGAAAATGCATAGCTTACTCTGCTAGTTGTCCCATGGGTTTAAGAATATCTGCTACTTTAGAGCAATCTTAG